ACGCTGATTGGGTGCGCGCGGCTCATGCACGCCGGGGCACGAGCCGCTTTCACTGACGCGTGGAGGGCGATCTCTGTTTTCCCTTGCTTTGGATGGCTGGCTGGGGGTAGGGTAGGGGAGGGGAGGGTAGGGGAGAGAGAGAGAGGGGGATATGGTGGTGGTATAGTATGCTGTATTATAGTATAGCAGTAGATTTTGGTTTGGTAGTTCGTATCACAGCGCCTGCAGCCTACCTCTCATCCCATCACTCCATCACTTCACAGCTCCCTCGCGCGCGCCGTTTCACACCTATCACTCCCCCCATCTATCAACCAGGTTCTCTCGAAATCAAACCTCTCCTTCCCCACCCCGAGCCGTGGATCTTGAAACGACAGAACAAATAATAGAACTAACAACCTATTTATAACCCCCCCAATCCTCTAACGTTGGATGTTGGACCTACCTACATCTCCACCTTCACGCAACAACATTGGGGGCGATCGGACAATAGCGAGGGGAGGGGTGGGGCAGATCGTGTACGCACCCCCTCCTGTCATTTATGCACTGGGCTGGGCTGTACGATACATACATACATACATACATACATACATACAACCAAAAACAAATCGAACAAAAAATGTGAGATCTTATGCATACACACAGACTACGTAGATGTGATGGGAAAATAGGGGTAAAGCAACGTAACGACCAAGCCCACCCCGCTGGATGCCGCTGAGGATGTGATCTATTCCTCGCAGATGTGGTCAGGGCGCCAGCTCAGAGCTGTGTGTTCAGGTCAGCTCTGGTCAGCTCGGTGGTGTATCCCCTCTCGTTCACCTGCTTCTGGTGTTTCTGGCTTCTTCTAGACGTGGCTGCTTTTGGTCATCGCGGCTGCGGGCGGGTGAACCCCCTTTTTCCTATCTTGCCGTGCTCATGGTCCTGCTCCTTGCTCCCTATGATCTGCTTCCCCATCTCCCATCCAGTCATATATCCACCGATCCATCCATCCATCCATCCACCCGCAAACCAGAAGACCAAACACAGCCCCCACCAGGGGTACTTCACTCCAGTAGATACGTACCCATACCTCCCTCTCCCTCCCATCCCATCCTCTCCTCACCACTAGACGACTGGATGACTGGACACAGACGTACAGTACCCCTGCACACCCAAACGGCCTCGGCCGGGGTCTCGGCCGGCGGTGGTCTCGGGGAAGCGATCGGGGAACTCGCCAGCAAAAAGAGGTACCTCCCTCGATGATGGCGTCTGCGTGTCTCGCTCCTTTAGTCAGGCGCCGGGGTGGATGTGGCGGCAGTTGGGGTTTTGGAGGTGGTTTGCTGGGTTGGTGGATGGGGAGGGACGGGGGAAGCACGTGCGTACGCGCGGTGTTTTGTGGGTTGTGTGCTGTACTGTACTGTACCTCTCTCTCAAGTTATCTTGGTCAATTGTTGCTGGATTGTAGTCAGCATCGTATAGTAGAGTGCAGGACAGCACAGTACAGCACAGCAAAAAAGGTGAGTGAGCAGACAGACAGTATGCGTGTACAGTAACAGAGAAACCTCCCAAAGGCCCATCCTCCCTCCACACACCCCCCCAACCAACCACCATCCCCAATCCCGTAACAACCGCCGCGCCGCATGACTACCCTCAGCCAACCTATCACCTGTTCCCATCCACTCCCTACCTAACGCCCACCCCAGAGCGCACGCCCAGCCCGCGGCAGGGTATGTGGAGCCTTCCGTATCCGCCGCAGGCGAGGGTACGTATTCTTTTTTGCTGTTTCGCTTCGTGGCTGGTCCTTGTAACTTTTCTAAGGTACGTACTTGTACACGGCTAGGGGGGAGGGGAAAGGGTGCGATTGCTCCGAGACGGTGGGAGGGGTGTGCAGGGGTGGGGAGACAGGGGGGTCGGCGTGTGAGGGAGGAGGGAGGAGGAGGAAAGAAAGAGGGATGAGAGGGATTGGAAGGAGAGGGAGGGAGGAGAGAGACGCCATGGGGGGGACGGGATTCTTCAGTGCTGAGTGTGCTGTGCTGGTAACGTTGTTGCAGTGTTCCCACAGTGAGTGAGTGAGTGGTAAAACAGCAGCACCACCACCACCACCACCACCACCACAGCACCAAGCAGCATGTCTTGCCTGTCTCTCTGCTGGTCACAGACCGAACTAGAAGCGTGTGTGTACCACCCTGTTGTGCTACCGACAGAACCAGGACCATTAGCACCAGAACAACAAGGCACCGGCACAGCACCACCAGTGCTAGCGGTACCAACACCAACACGCCAACACCACCAACAGACCCTCTCAATACCAGCCCAGAGCGCGCGTAGGGATAAGATTAGATAAACTCCCCCTAGAGTTGTGATGGTGATGGCAGGGACGAGAATAGCAACAATCACCAACTGAATGACTCGCGCTGTGTCTGTCCATCCATCCAACGGCAGCAGGTAGGTAGGCTCATCACATCTGGTCGCATCGCATCAAATCCTGGGAGTGTCCTAGGAGTGTCCTAGAAGTGTCCGTTCACTCGGATCTGCTGCGATCCGGCTGGCTGGCGGAGTCAGTGCTTGTACTGACTTGACTGGACTTACCGCACTGTCCGTACCGCACTGTCTGTGGTGTTAGCAGCGTCAATAGCGTCACCACCGTGCTGAAAGTTAGTACTGAAGCACCGCCCGTGCCCCTCCCTCCCATACCGACCGCCGCACCACCCGAGACACACAGACACTGCCAGACAGACTTCACTTCCCTCCCCTCTACTCCCCTCCCCTTCACTCCACGCACCGCCACCACCCACCCCGATCAAGCCTAACCGACGTGGCACCCACCGCCTGCCTGCGCTACCATGTCTACCATGCGTCTACTCCCCCCCTTCCCTCCCGTACACCGTATCGTATACTCAGGCCGCGGTGTTGCACAACAGGCACCTAAACGGGGCGAGGCAGACGCGGGATAAGGCGATACGGGCGCGTGATTGCGGGCGATAGGGAGGTGCATGCTGCGTGCGTGCGTGTGTGTGGATGTGGTGGTTGGCGAGGGCGAGTCGTGGGTGTGCGTCTGCATGTACTATACAGTACTACTGCACTGTAATTCGTATGTGTTGGTGCGGCGTACCTGTGGTGGGGAAGGGAGAGGGAGGACGACGGGTGGGCGTGGCGGTTGGGTGCGGTGCGTGGTGGCAGGGGAGTGTGAAGGGGAGAGGGGATGAGGAGGGGTGGTTGGTTGGGAGGCGACGGAGGTATACCCGATGCTGAGGGGGTAGGAGCGCGATAGGCGCGGTTGGGGTGGTTGTGTGGATGATGTGTTGGTGGTGGATGTCGCTTGGGTTGGTGGGTTGGTGCCTGGAGGGAGCGGGCGAGGGAGGGGGGAGTGGATGTCAGGGTGGATGAGTAAGGAGGCGCCCGCTGTTTTTCGTTACCTCTGTCTTGGGATTGCGGCTTTCCGGGTGGGATTGGGAAGTTCGAAGCGTTAGTAGCGTCCGTAGTGTTGGGTATGGCCGTAGTGTCAGTAGTGGGGGCCAGAGAGGGGGAAATTGGCGCGGGTGGAAATGGAAAAGGGCTGGAACTATCGAACTTCCTTCCTCAGACACCCCGCTGTTTGCACCACCGGAACAGGCTGGACCGGGCGGGGCGGGTATTGTCTAAGTCTAAGTATAACGGCTTCTATTCCTGTAGGACTGGTTCTCGGGTCCAGGGAGACGGGCGGCGAGGAGTACGGTATGGTAAGGTGAGTTGGGGTTTGGGGTTCGGGTTCCTTTTCGAGCTCGCGCGTGGGCTCTAGAGGTAGGTTGGATGGAGTATCATGGATGCAATATCGTGTTCGCTTTTCCTTTCTTTTTGGCGCTTCCAACAACGGCGCCACCGAGGAGGAGGGGCATGGGGAGGATGGATGCCTTGCCTTGCTTTGCCTTGTCATAGTCGCTGGCGCTGTCACTGGCGTTGTCAACGCAGCTATGAACCATCAATGCAGCTATCAACCAATAGATTGGGATTCCGCGTGCGTCGGCTGGACAAGCCACTGGTGCGTGGCGGTGCGTGCTTACGAGGGGAAGTGTAGTGTTGGATGAGTAGAGTGGTTATTGTGTGTTGGAGGATTAGATTGGGCTGGCGTGGCGGGTGTTTGTTCATGTGGAAGTCGTCCTTGTTGGTGGAGGGAAGGAGGAGGACGTGCATGGGCGGAAGGAAGGAAGGTAGAGGCCGTGCATTGCATGGTGGAGGTGGATGGGGATGGGGATGGGGAGGAAGGAATAGAAGGGTTGGAAGTGGTGGAAGGGGAGTGTTGGTGGTGAGTGAATTGGGATGTAAGAAGGGACGGGGGATTATTGAGGCCGGTGCTTATAATGTTGAGTGGAGTGAGGAGGGAGTGAGGAGAGAGGATAGTAAGTAAGTATGCAACAAGTGTAGGCAGCAAGTAGTCATCCATCTCAGTTAGCTCAGTCATCTCAGTCATCTCAGTCATCAAAGTGTGTTTTGTATGTTGTATGCAGTATACTACTATAAGTAGAGTAGTATAGTCCTGTACATACTCTAGTTGTATGCTGTATACTATAAGTAGGGTAGTAGAGTAGCATGGTTCTGTATATTAGTTCTGTATATACTATAGGACTCTACTCTAGTTCTCTCCTATAGGACTGGACTCTACTCTACTTCTCTCCTATAAGGATGGCAGGCAGCAAACTTAAGGAAGTACTCTGCTCCTCTCTCCATTGTCTAACTTATCCACCTTGTCTAACTTGTCTACCCCTGTTCACACACAGAAGAGTACATCCATCCCATACTATCCCTCCACCTTGTCATCAAGTACCAACAACTACCAACGTGTATACATACATAATCTAGTGAAAGCGCTAGTGCGGAAGGCCGATTAAGTGGAAACCATCCTAGCACCACCCACCCTAGCACGCTAATAATTCGCCCCGCTAACTCGCCCAACTGGTGGTTTTTCTTACCCGCGCGACTCTGAACGGCTCTTTCCCTTCCCCGTCGTCGTGTCGTCCCCATCGTGTCCCCCATCCTCATCCCCGTCCCCTTCCACACTATTACTACTACTGCGCCAAGTACTACAACCACTCACCACTCACCACAGTAACTTCGTACTTTTAACACACTGCGCACCCACTACACGCACTACACTAAGTCTAGTACTTCTCTCCGTTCTCTCCGTACTCGCCTCGCGCGCGCCCTTCAATCCCACCCAGACGCCCACTCAGACGCCCACTCACCCATAGTCAGATTCCCCCCTTCCCACTCTCCCTCCCACTTCTCCCTTCTCCCAATCCCCTCCCAATCCCCAATTCCCCATACAGTAATCTTCACCGCCCCCTCCCCCCAAATCACTCACCTTAATTCACCACACACACACACAAACTCACCCACTCACCCACTCACCCACTCCTACCACCCACCCACCACTCTTCCCATCTTACGCGCGCAAGAGAAAACACAACTTCAAATACATACTAGACACCCTCATCCTATTGTATACCCTCTCTATCTTATCTCAAATCAATTCATCCTTCTCCAATCATTCTCTATCGTTCGTTCCGAGTTGCCGCCCATTTTCACGCTTCTGCCTGGACTTTTACCGCGTCGGCAGTCTTGTCGCGAAACGAGGCGAGGGCCTATTGCGGGTATTCGAAGCGCCGGCTTACGCTGGGGGCGCTGGGGCGGGAAAGAAGTCGACCAGTTCTTGGGTAACCACCTCGACCCTCGATCGAACACACACACACACACTCGTTCACTCCCTTAAAACACAACAACAACCTCGTCGTCGTCATACTTGACACCGCCAACGTCTCCATTTAATAATTGTCCCCTATTCCTTGTATTGAAACTTTTCTGGAAAAGTTACATACTACACCGCCAGGAATAACCTCTCACTTCCCCCGGCCACCAAGCTTTGTTCCTTCCGTCGCAAGAAAGAGACGCCAGACGGCATCGTTACGTCGTCAACCTGGGGCTGTGCAAAATTCTTTCCTACAGCTAGCCGCACTCCAACAAAGAACCTCTCAACTCCCCCGAACAAACATTCTATTGTTCTCCACGCTGTCGCAGCTCCGAGACAGCGTACCTCCCGTTGCCAAGATAGCGTCCCTCACGACGGTCTCCACGACGGCGAAGGAAAGGAGTCCCAGCTCGGTCCAGCTGGAGCTTGTGGCACTCGCTCGCGAGAGCCTACGAGAGACAGGACGCGTCTCGGGAGACCTCACAGACACCATCACCGTGGAGAGGCCACCGCGCACCAAGCTGCCCGACCCGACGAGTCCGACTCCTCCGGCAGATCCTGTCACCGCCGACAGCGACAGCAGGCGTCCATCACCAGCCGACACCATGACGGCCGTCGAATCACATACGGCGCCGAGCCCATTCCTCGACACGCCCGCAGATCCACCGACGTCGCGATTCACTGCCGTCAACAACCGTGAGGCATTGCCATCCGCGGCGCCAACGAACAATGGCAACGGCTCGTCGCGGAGAGCTTCCGAGGATCGCCCTGAGCCACTGGCCCGCACCACTCCGCCAGTCCCCGAGAAGCTCACCATCACTACGACAAATACGCAGAGAGACAATTGGGCCGACACGGTCAATGGCGACAAGGCTGCCGGCAGCCAGAGCGTCCCTCCGCCGCCCACCTTCCCAGATGGCGAATCCTCACATAAGCGCAAGCGGTCTGGCTCTGTGGAACGCGACAGCGCCCAGCCGTCCAGCTCCAGCTCATATCACAAGCACAGTCTGCCAGCACTGAAGCCGAACGAGCAGCAAAAGGGCTCGCCGAACAGCCCGTATCCCGACTCTGCGCAATCGAGCAAGAGAGATGCGCAATCGGCGACGCGTGATCCATATGTCACACCCCAAACGCCGTATCCGCACTACCCCGAGGAGAGCCGCGAGAACAGCGCCGCGTCGTGGTACTCGCATCAGATCGACAACCGCACCCCTGTGGACGGAGGGCACTCGGCCGTTTCGCAGCACCACATGAGCCCTGATGATCAGCTTCGGGAAGCGCTGCAGCGCGAAAACAACAGCGATGGCCAGGGTAATTACAGCGAGACCAGCCCGGCGCAGAACGATCGCGGTGCGCCTTACCGAGGCGAGTATGGGCAGGTGCAGGTGGACCACAAGAAGCGGAAGCGCAATTTTAGCAACAGGACAAAGACCGGCTGCATGACCTGCCGCAAGCGCAAGAAGAAGTGCGACGAGACGAGACCTGAGTGTAAGTCCCCGCGAGCTACTGTACAACCCTGACTATATCTAATTCGTCCTGAAGGTAACAATTGTATGCGTGGTGGGTTTATCTGCAACGGCTACCCGAGTCGTGGCAATTGGCCCAAGACGGAACAGAAGCAGGGACCCGTCCCTCTGCAGTCCAAGGACGGCTACGATGCGAGCCCGAGCCAGTACCAACCGCCGCCGTACCAGCAGCAGCAGCAGCCTCAGCAACCCAAACGCGAGCCCTTACCATCGTATCGCGGCCAGCAATTACGTGTTGATCCCCTGCAACCGCCCGCTCGGCCAGTTGGCGCTGACGAAGACCGGAGCGCCTCAACCAACCTCAGCGCCTCAGTCGGGAGCCCCGACAAGAGGCTCTCCGCCATCTCGTACACACAAGCCAATACCTTCCCTACACCGGTAAGCGCAGTCAGCCAGAGCAATTACCCCGATCGTCTTTCTCAAATGGATTACCAGCGCATGCCTCCTCTGCTAGACCAGAATCGCAGCGAGCATGACACTGGGACTCCGCAATCGGCCCACTCGGTCCCGCACTTCAGCATCCTCCACGCCTCGAATACCAACAGCCCGCACCCTCACACGCCGCAATCCACGGCCGCCCAGGACGCCGCGCGCCTCGCTCTCTCGCATCCGGCCTCCAACTCGCGCCGCACGCAGAAGGAGGAGATGCTCGCGGGCAACAACTTCTTCCCCTTTGACCGCGAGCTCGTCCTCGAGCGCGAGCGCTGCAACGCCGCCTCGTGGCGCTTCAACAACAGCACGAATCCCAATAACGGGAACCTCCCCGAGGACCGCTCGCGCTTGTTCCGCGACATCCTGCAGCCCAAGGAGCTTGCTAGCATGCCGCCGCACCTGGCCTCGCCGGTGAATCCGCAGGGGTACGTGGGCGAGCGCTGCGTTGTCGCGGCGCCGTTTACGTGCGATTACGGGTATAACATCACGATTGGGCAGGACGTGAGTATCGACCGCAACTGCACGATCCTCGACTGCGCGTCTGTCAAGATCGGGGACCGCTGTGTGATCGGACCGAATGTCAGTATCCTCACCACGACGGTACCGATTGATCCGAAGAAGCGCCTCGGTAGCAAAGGGCCGAACCAGGGGAAGCCGATTATCATTGAAGAGGACTGCTTTATTGGGGCGAATGCTACGATTTTGCCGGGGATTACGGTGAAGAGGGGGAGTACGGTTGGGGCGTGCTCGGTTGTTACGAGGGTGAGTTTTTTGCGAGCTTGCTTATAAGTAAATAAATGGCGTACTAACGGTTTATAGGATGTACCACCCTTCACGGTCGTCAGCGGTAACCCAGCGAGGGTCATGAGAGGTATCTTTCAGGTCCACGACTAAACCCGCTCCCCTCTTGTTTGACTCCGAGGTTCGCTAAGGATACGAAAACGAAAACATATTTTATATACATAATACCACCACCACCCCCGTCCTTACGAAAGGCGGTAATATGCTCGCCCGCTCTTCCCGGCGTTATGGCAACTGGCTGGTCCAATTTCACGATAGTCGCTCTATTTTGCACCCCCTCTTTACTACCCGCTATTCGTTTCTCGTATGAGGACGAATAAGAGACAGTGGGATGGACGAAAGGGTAGCTTATGAAAGGGAAGGGGGTGAGGGGAAGGGAGAAGGAAAATGCAAGGAAATGGGAAGGGGAAGAGGGATGGATGGATGGATGTGTTGGGAAAGGGAGCGGGAATACTACCTGCTACCGTCCAACCCACCACCACCATGGGAAGAGCGGAGAGAGAGAGAGAGAGAGAGGAAGAGAAGAAAGCTGGAAAGACCGTTGCTATTTCCGTTTTTTTTTTTTTCAACTACTACCACATTTTTTTTTCACCCTTGTTCGCTGTCATATTTCTGTGCTGATTTTGCGTTTTTATTGTCGTTATGTGTGTGTGTGTGTGTGTGCTCAAACCTTTTATTTTGTTTTTTATGATGGGATGGGAAATATCAGGGAAGAAATGGAATGGAATGGGAAGGGAAGGGAGGAAAAGGGATAGGAACTGGGGATGGGGAGATGGGAAAGAAAGCACGACCGTAGGGGCTCGGGAAATATCACTTATTTGCTATACGTTTTTCGCCTCATCATTTGTTTTTGTTTTTTTTTGCAGCTACTACTTACTCCCTTTTGTTTTGGATGGTTTTGGAGACCTAGCTGAGGGTGGGGCAGGGGGTTGCCGATCTCGCGACAGAGAGGGGGGGAGTGAGAGGGGGAGTGAGAGGGGGAGTGAGAGAGAGGGAGAAGTCGGGGTTGGATTTTTGCTAGGGATTATTTATGCTACTAGGGGGAGGGAGGGTGGCTATAGTCGTTTTTAACTTTTAAGTTTATAAGATTCATAAAATGGAGAGGGATTCTATTTTACTAGTGTTTTTTTTGGGGGCGGACGGGGGGGTGATGGATTTCGTGGGTTTGTATTGTATGTGTATTGACTGACTGACTGACGCACGGGGGATTTACTATGCTGTGCTGTGCTATACCACTTTATTCTTCTTCTTCCATTGAGAGGACTCTCCATCTCCTCTCATCCCTCCTAGTACAGCACCCCCCCCCATCCGTTCCCTCTACCTCCCCCCCAACACCTCAGCAACCCCCTCCCCCTCCTACTACCAACCACCACGCCACAAACACACACCCCCCTATAGCCCCTCTCCCCTCTCCCCTCCTCCCAAACCCAGTCCGTACCAAGAGCCATACGAGTCATCCTTTGTTTATCGCGAGACTGAGAGAAAGAAATTCTATAAGTTACGGCCAACGCAACCGACGTGAGCAGGAGCAAACGACGACTCGTTGCTATTGAGAGAATGTCACTTAAACGGGTGTCTGCTGTTAGGGTCTGGTTTGTTTGCAGCTAGCGGGGAGTATGGGGGGTTTTTTTGAGGAGGGTGAGGGTGAGAGGGAGATGTGCGCTGACGAGAATGTATGAGCGATGGGTAAGGGTGGCAACAGTAGTAGTGGTGGTGGTAGTGCGGTGACGAGAATGTAGGAATGACGGGTACGGGTGAGAATGACAACAGCAGCAACAGCAACAGCAACAGCAGCAGCAGTAGTAGTACTGTTGTCAACTGATATAACATGAGACAAGGCGGCTAAAGGACTCTGCACACCCAAAGCATATCTCGCACATCCGGCCACTTCTGCTGTTGTTGCAGAACTCAGACGACAAAGGCAGGATATGGTTAAACATCCATCGTATCATGTGTTGGATGGAGATGTCTCTGTTATCATTGAGAAAGAGGCGTGGCGTGGTCACGAAAGAAGGGTGGTGGCAATTGAAGTACGGTGACAAAGGAAGCGCGTGTGGTGATGAGAATATACCAGCGACAGATAAGAGTGACGGTTGTAGTTACCCCCTATTCCTCATACCCTCTTGGGAATTTTTCTATCATCCCCGATGTCGTGGAATAAAAATTCAATGACCCCGGCTAGCTGGCGACATATATGTGTCATGCGTGTTGCTGTGACTAGGGAGATGGATCGCGCTGTCTATCTATCTTCCAGTACGGGGCTGCCACCCCTTTGAAAGGTGACCGTGTTAATTATGGGCAATGGAGTTATTCTGGCGTTGCTCGTGATTGAGAGTCTTTTCTTGGTCTATACTGTTTAATGGATAATCATATGAATCAGACGAGGCGTTCTAGGTGGTAGTTATTTGATGTATTTATTATGTATTTGGATGGGGGAATATTTGATACAAGATGTGCCAACCCATCTTCTAGTTTCGTTTTATAATATCAGCTGCTCCTCCTCGTCTCACTCTTCCACATCCTAAACGCCCTCCCAAAACCCTCTCCCCCATCTCGATCTCCCACCCCCTTCTCCCTCACCTTACCCTCCCTCTCCATTCCAACCACCACACCTTCCCCAACCCCAACAAGCGGCACCATACTCGGCCTCCCATGCGCACACAAAAACGGGAACTTACACTCCCCCAACCTCCTTACCAACATCTCACACTCTCGACGCTCAAGCACATCATTAAACATCACCGCCCCCCGACAAGCACGCGAATTTAGCATCTCCAGTATCCCCGCCGGACAGCCCTGCATGCGTGCCACCCAATCTGGGGTCGCCCCTCCTTCCACATCCGTCTGCTCTGCGGTTTCATTTCCCCTAACCAGACGTGATGGCCCAGCACCCCCTCTTCCATCAACCCCCCACACCTCACGCCGGATGAGTTCAATAGCTATCTTCGGATCCGCGCGGCACCTCTCCACAATACCAGGCGGTAATGCCGTCAGCACGACTTTATCCATCCCCTCCCCAGGGCAAATGTAATACAACACGCCCCAATCCGCAAAGTGTCGTCGATGACGCTCCAGCAACTCCGATTCTGCGTCCGCTACCTCAAAGACAATGCTCTTCTCTAGCCTCTCCACGCGGACACGAGGGGCCAACTCATCGTGTCCCAGTCCCGGCAACGGTGAAGGCGGTAGAAAGAAATCCGCCATAAGAGCTTCAATGCGACAGCGTTCATCAGCGGCGTGCTGATCGATAATAACGAGCATATCCTCCCCGCTTACTCCGTCATCCATAGATGCTGCTGCTGCCGGCATCCGCGCGAGTATAAACTTGCGATCAACCTGCGCAATGACACGGGCTTGCTGGAGTCCCGATTTCGATAGATGGCCGGTGGAGCTGGTGGCGCTGACTTGGAAGGCGCGGTCGATGGCTGCTTGGGTGCAGGTATGGTGGTGGCCGTGCAGGATGCTCTGAGTGTGGGTGTCGGTCCAGTCGGGCTGGATTTGGGGGATGGGGGGTTCGGCGGGGGGGAAGACGGGGTTGTTCCAGTTGGTGAGGATGCTGTTGAGCCAGTCGCTTGGTTGGTGGGGTTGGGTGGGTGTGTCGTGTGATTTTGGGGCGTACTTTCTATTGAGTGTTTGGAGTCCGTGGCGTGTTTCTGGAGTAGGCTTGACGCTCAATTTTGGGGTTTGCTGTACTGAGCCAGTGCGCATGTTGACGAAGCAGTTTTCCTTTGTAGTTGGGTCTGTCCAAGGAACAAGTTCGTCTTTCTCCATGTCGGGAGGGGATTCGTTGATCGGAACTTCTTTTTTGGGAGCCATTGCAGGTCGCCTGGTTGGCTTTGCCACATCCATAAAAGGCAGCTGGGATACTGTACCTGATTTCGAGATAAGCGGGGTCGTGCTGCGGGGTAGAGACTTCTCTATCTTGGAGGTAGAATCCCTTCCGGTGTCTTTCGACCCTGCCGAAGGACGCTTTGAAGGCTGGGCGCCTTTTGCCGCTTGAACTCCGTCGTCGACATTGGATAATTCTCTTTTTGACGTCTTGACAAGCGTTGGAACCCTCCCGCTTTTGACCCTAGGCCATATATCAAACGGCGATGATGGCCTAGGACTTGGATGCCTTGTCGGAAGTTTCGTGATTGCCCTTTTCTTTGGTGAGACTGACGTTCCAGGCATATCATAAATAGCTTTAGTAGAAGAACCCGACGGCTCAATTCTACCCATGTCAACCTCGCTGCTTTCAGCTTTGCGCTTGGACGGCGAGCCAGGAGGCCGGATAAACTTGGGATTAAAGTTGTTGCTTCGGAGAAACTCCACAATGACAGCCTGGAGTAACTTCGTGATGGAAATGAGAGTTTTCTCATCGTCAAAAACATCTTCAACGGGGTCGTGGTTGGGTATTGGACCATGAATATCGATTCTCATATAGAACATCGGCCATTTGTCCACCCCCTTTCCAGACCCTTTTAACTCCTTGTTGGTAAAACCATCGCTTTTATATCGCTTGTCCTCTGCTCTCCTCTTCTTCTCTGTCTCATCTAGCTGGGGAAGATCATCCACTATGCCAAACGATGAATTGGCAAAAAGACGATTGACCTCTTCAAACAAAATATTGCGTCCGTCTTCGTTGCTCAAAGGGTGTATTCCAAAGGACATGAATTGAATGCCTTTGGTGGGCGCGGGATCAAGTGAGATTCCGCTCCTGATACTAACTGTAGATGTAGAGCCGCTTGCAGACACCCAAGACGATGTGTCTACTGAAGGAATGAAAGATGCTTGCGCAAGAGTGCTGCAAATATGTGATATCAGGGCACCATCATCATTGATATTTCTCTGCCTCGAACTTATACGCAAAGTCCGTAACTTGGTGTTGGATGAAAGCTCTTTTATGGTCACAGAAATAGGGCCCTGCCATGCTAATATCAAGGCCATGACTTCTTTGCGGAGCGAATCCCAGTCTTTCGGATTTCTTGACGACTCTGCATTCTCAATAGCACGCTGCTTGACTCGGACTGGCATATCCCCAAACAGGTTCCGCACGGTAACACGAGTGCCATGGTTTAATGACACTAAATTCTGTGCCTCAGGAGCCGGAGTATGACGAGATATAACCTGGGATCTGGACAAGGCTATAGAATTATGCGAGCGGTGCAGATGGTGATGTGAAGTGATAGACAGTAATGACAGCGCAGCAAGGGAAGCAATGAAACAGCCCTGGGTGCCATGCGTTTCAGTATCACTGGTATATTTGGAGGTATCTATATATATATTAGAGTTTTGCCGATTACCAGACTGGGTTTCTTACGATGAAGTTTTGCCAACCCGCCACTGGGTTGGAATTCGGCTGGCGCTATACCCAGTCCATCATCTTCGACTATACAGCCACCACGACCATAGTCAACCTGAACATCGACCTTTCCGGCTGAGGCATCAAGGGAATTCTTCAGTAGCTGAATGATAACCCCATTTACCGACGTGATAGAAACAGACGATTTTATCTGGGCAACAACTTCAGGTGGCAATGGAGCGATAGCAGGTGAAGAAGCCATGCCGTTGTTGGAATCCTTCAATCACTGTAATGAATGCAGTGCCAAATCTGATGGATAATGTTCCTTCCGTTTTCAAAACGCTGGGTATTAGCCATCGCGCGGAAAGAACGAAGGGCTCACGTCCGGTTTGTTTATATGGCAATCATCTCAGCAGAAAGACGGAGCAGTTACGCAATACTGGCAGAGAAGCAATACTTCAACAGAGGAAACTAAAGCAACAGATTCTGCCAACACCGTCAATCTCAAGTGGCAACATTGAGTGGGAATTTATATTGCGCTGGGCTCCTGGGTTGACGCTTTGGACAAGGGAACGACGACGGCGTGAAATTCTGCCGGTTGTCATGCGAGGATGCCCTCACCGCCTTATGCCAGAGCAATGACACGCTCAGTCACGTGATGACCATACTAACAACGCCAACAAGCTCACAACAGATCTAGTCAACGATAGTATGAGAATGTGAAATCTAGAATTTTCCATTGGTATTAATTCTGTGAGCGCCCCAAAGATATTCTTAGCTCGTGTTACTCCAAGTGAGAAACTCATGGAATCCGCTCTTCTGCCTAGTTATCCGATAACAAATGTTCGAGGCTGATGAAATGGACCTATATCGTCCCGTCTTACCCAGCCACAAAACTCAGACCAGAGGCCGAGTCCCACGTCCTTACCACATCATGTCCACAGTGGCTTGCCAAGTCCAGGGCTCATTTGCCGACGCAGTTCAATTAACCCCAGAATAGGAAACTTAAGAGCACGGCACCTGTTGATCTCCAAGCCTCTCTTCTTGGCACATGGGCTGAATGGGTACTGCTAATTTTACTTCTGAGGGAGATCGTTTCGGTTGGAGGTGGGAGGGAAGCAAGGAGTCCGAGAACTTCGTGTTGTGAGTTGCGTGGATTTGTTTATTGCTTCATCCTCAGCTAGAGAATTACAAGAAGGGGCTCAATGGGCGATGGATTCCGTACGTACTTCTGTATGTTCAGAAGTCTGGGAATACTGAGGGATATGGACGTCAGGTGCCATGGGAAGATTTATAGTTGACAGGCAGGGAATACAGTGTGTCATTCCAGGCACTTAAGGTTCTCCACGCCATCGGTTATGGGTTTAAGGAGGGCTGAGAAAGTTCACCGAGCCACGACCCCATGCCACATCCTTCGTGCAGAAGCGTAAGGCTGACAAGAGCAATTTTATCACTGGATATGGTTCAGCAAGACCCTTCAAAAACCAATGACATCTATCATCACGCTCTAAACCCACCCCTCCAAGCCAACGGTGGAGACAGCTGAATCCAATGCGGCTTATGGTAATTTGTGACAGGTAGATCTCGCCTTGTCTGTCAGTTTGGTTTCCCCACCGAACCATTCAGCTGCCTCGCGATCCATTTCTATCGGGTCAGCAATGCCTCCGGAAGCCAAGCAGGGTCCGACACAATGTTATTCCTAGGCGCGATCATCATGTTGCTTGGGCTTGCGGGTCGCGCGCTCATTGGTTTGACTTGGGGCGGGTGGGCAGTGCTGTCCCTCAATTCACAGAATAGCTCAGTTCAGCTACGCTCACACCCCTCTCAGTGCCTGATCCGTTTGAGAGTGCTGAGAAGTGATAGGGATTGGCGTGAGTACTAATATTCCCCAAGTCCGTCTCTATCCTTCTGCTTTTCTTTCCCCCTCATCCTTCCAACTCAAATCTTCTCAATCCATCTTCTCATCTTCAAACACTCTTTAAGCCACCCCTTACCTTTTCCTCAAACCACCAAACCCCAATCAACATGCGTTTCTCCCTCCTCCTCGCCGCCGCCTCGGCCACCATTGTCGCCGCCCAGGTTGACCTCGGAGACGTCCAGAACTGCAGCGACCCCCAAGGCCTCAGTAACTGCGCTGCGCCCTACCTCAAGGACGTCCAGAACTGTGGCAACAGCGACATCTCCTGCCTCTGCAAGGCCGCCACCGGCGGACAAGCGTGCGTTATTCCTAGCCCCTCGACCAACCACCCAGACTAACCCCCGCCTAGATGCTTCACAAAGTACTGCCCTGAAGTCACATTCCCCTACTCGGCCGAGCTCCAGGCCGAGTGCGGCGGCAGCGGTAGTGGCAGCGGAAGTGGCAGCGGAAGTGGCACTGGAAGCAGCTCTGGCGATACCAGCAGCGGCAGCGCCAGCTCAACCGGCTCCGGCGGCAGCGCCAGCTCGACCGATGCTCCCACGAACGGTGACTCCAACTCGAACACAAACACCGCTCCCAAGTCCGGCGGTGGTGATCCCGGTGCAGGAGCTTCCATCTTCGCCCCCGCTGGCAGCCTCCTCGCTGCCATCGTCGCTGTTGCGGCTATGTTGTAAGCGGTGTATTGGGAGAGAGTGTGAGGGACAGGGAAAGTGGGCTGCGCGTATTGTTTTGGCGTCTGCGTCTGCTGGGGGGTTTTGAGACCCGTTGAGATTATATGTTTTGTTTGTTGTATTTTGGGAACAGATACGGCTGCGGCCTGGGAATTTGTATATCCGGATGTGGGGGCTAGAGTATATAAGATAATAATTTAATCCTCATTTTGGAATATTTGGACTGAGTGCTTGGGGAGATTGTGAGGATGTGTGGAGGGCGAGTTCACGTTGGCTCTGAAAGACTCATGCGCGGTGCTGATAAAAGTGTTGTGAGAACCCACGAAGATCAATCAATTCCATTCCATTCCATTTTAAAGTCCATCCATGAATAATGCCAGTAACACCCATCAACCTGCTCCTCATCACTCATTAAAACTGAGCCCCACCTCCTCAGTCTCAAAACACCCCATCCTCAAAATCCACAACCTTCACCTGCTTCACCAGCGGCCCAACACTCTTCACAAACGCAAGATGCACCGGGTCCTTCTCCAAATAATACTTCCGATCCGCCTCCGACACAAAATGCGAGATAAACGCATGCGTCAACCCTCCCTATCCAGTATTAGCCTTCCTTATCCCCCACCCCGCAAAAAGAGAGGAAGCAACTCACATCATGACCCTCCGGGCTGTTATTCTTCCCCCCAATCCCATTAAACACGTACTGCTGCCCATTCTCGGGATGGCGACAGGTATTCGACAGGTTCAGCATGCGCTTGCAGATCTAATGTGCTCATCAGTCAGTCTGCGTCCTGGGAGGAGGTTGTTGCACGTGCTTATCGATAAGGCAGGACCTGGGAGGATGGGAACATACGTCATTGACAGCCTCTGGGTCAGCGTCGGCGGCGAACTCGAAAAGGACGATGTGGATGATAGTCATAGCTACTAATTTACGTTCTTAATCTGCGAGATAGGTTGTATTTGTAAATCGGTATTGGGTGAGTGAGGATGAGAAAAGTGTTGTTGAGAGAAGATGGGCGAGTCGGAGATGGTGGTCTAAGACAAGGGTTCTAAATAGCTCGGTTGGCTGCCGGGTGTCTCTGCCAACTTTCTAAGCGGGAGGGGCAGGAACGACCAACAACCACTTCTTATCAGGGAAGGGACGTTGGATTTAGGTTTGCTGTGACGTCTGTGGATGGAAGGGCGCTCGTATGGGGTTGGGTCGTGCTTGCCTTGATGGGCAGGGGAGGGCGGGTCTGGATGGGAAGGGACGCGCGGCCGGAGGAGGAAGGTGCAGGGGGGAGGAGGGGGACGGGAGGAAGGTGCGACTGGGGATGACTGGGCTGTGAGAGGCGGTATGGTGTTTGTGAGAGATGGGGGGTTATACCGTGAGTGAGTTGTTTTTGTTTGAACGTGGGATCTTTCGCGTGGTTGTGTAATTGTGTAATGCTGTTGTGTTCAGTGTATATAGTCTGACTATCCAACAAACACTTTCAAACGTTTCCGCGGACAATCCAAGCAGGTTCCCCACGCAGCCCCCAAACATGGCTGTACGGGGCTGTGCGACACTCTCAGTACGGTGCGGACATGCGGATTATCCATAAATATTCATTTTGTTTCTTCAGTCTCCCCCTCTTGCCTCTGACCTCTGACCTTGCATCGCTGCGCCTGCCTCTGGCCATGTTTACGATCTTGCCGGCCCCCCCCAACTGGCAAGTACGCCCCTTCTATGCCACCAATAATGCATCTCCCCATCGCTCCTTCCCAAAGTAACCATCTAGGTATAAGATCAAAGCAGCCACCCCCAACCGTTAGTAAGCCCAATCAATTAAGCGTCATAAGTAACAGTCGTCCCCTCCTGCGCCGGGTCCAACAGCTTCCATGCGCACGTAATGCCCTCCTTCTTGAATTCCGAAATCAGATGATCAGCGATACTCTCAAAGTTGTCAGTCGCCAGTGTCATAATGGTTGGTCCAGCACCGCTGAGGCAAGTGCCCAAGAGACCTGGGTGCGACTTGGGCGATATGCTCGACAGAATCTCCGTCAACCCTGGGATCAAAGTCTTGCGGTATGGCTGGTGGATCTTATCCTGCATCGACAGGTAGATGAACTCCGGGTCTGGTGGCGACTCGCCCAGAGCCGTAGGCAGGAGCGCCACGCGCTGCAGGTTAAACACGATATCAGGTCTAGTATAGCTCGTCGGCAGCACCTCTCTCGCCTTCGCCGTCGCGACCTCGAAATCCGGGATCACGACAATACACCTAATTTCCGGCGCCCACTTGAACTTATGGAAATGTCCAATGTTGAATGGCGGCTCCGGGGGGTTCAGGCCCGTATCCACGCCGCCGGTGTTGGAGAGGACTTCCGAGACCGGGATCTCAAGGCGCGCGACATCAGCGGGCTTGAGCTCATTGAGGTAGGTACCGACAAAGCCACCGTAGAGGGTCGCGGCGATGTTATCGGGGTGACGCTCGACCATCAAGCAGTAATCGAGGATGCGAGCCTTTGAGAGGCCGAGCTTGCCAGCCTCATTGGCGAGGACGACGCCGGAGACGACGGCGGAGCCAGAGGAGCCGAGGCCGCGGCCGAGTGGGATGGGGTTGATGACGTGGACGTGGGTGTTCTTGGGGAAGACGCGCTGGCCGTGGCAGCGGAGGACGTAGAGGGCAACTTTGGTGATGAGGTTGACCTCTGGGTCAAGGGGGACGTCGGGGGCGCCCTCGCCCTCGTAGGTTATGCGGCAGTTGAGGGGGAGCGAGGTGGTTTCGGAGGGGTCGACGGTGACTTTGAGCTCGAGATACATTGACAGAGCGAGGCCGATGACATCGAAGCCAGGACCAATGTTGGCCGACGAGCAAGGAGCTCGGACTGTGAATTTAGAGGCGGCCATGGTTTCTGGGTAGAGAGGTTGTTCGGTGATGCGAATTGAAGCGATTGAGAGGTGTGAAAAGGGTGTCCTCGGTGGATAATATAATAAAAATGGTGTATATTGCTTTTCCGTCACCTTGCCATGCTCGGTGGAGTTCGCGGGAGGTTGATATCCACTATCTCGGTCACTTGAGGTCTGTGACTCGACTGTGAGGCTAAGAATTTATTTTGGCGGGGGAGAAGTTGGCGGTTTACCCCGCCAAGCGCCCATAACCCCCACGGGTGTCCGCCATCGGAGAATCGCTCACGTGTGCGCATACATATTCTAGAACGCGATTCCCCAGAAAGAACAAAATATATATTTCTTTATCAATTGCTTAAGATGCATGGTTCAAGGTACAGCTAGTGTTATGCACAACTGCATGACATAAACGGCATGTGCTCTTGTGCTCTTGAGTTGTCCGTCTCGATGACGAGAATATTATTCCAAAAACCCCAAAGTTGTGCCAGCAACATTACAAGAGGCCTCCCAGACCGGACACCGTTATCCCAGCACTTTTCCATTGATCGTTACTCGTCATCATTCAACTTTTCCAACCAGTCCTCAAATATCCTTGCGGCGTCTTCAAACTGCAGATCATTCATTAAGTGATGACCGCTCCCCTCCACAGACGCAAACTCCACCTCCCCCCTTCTAATATCATACCCATCCTTCCCTATCTGTTTCAGCGCCCCAGCATACTCCGCCGTCGTCTTCTCCATTAACTCCATCCTCATTAACTGATCCAGCTCCGCCGCCAACACAAACAGCCTCATACCGCACCCCAACAGCACCCGCCTCGGATCCACATATCCGCGCCACATCGTACTAATAGGCCACCTCAAGCTCTCATACTCAGACATGAGCTTCTCAAACGGCTTCACCCAATCAATCGGGAACGACGGACAAAAGAACGCCGCCTTGACCAGCTCGCTCGACGAAAGCGGCGATCGCGGATGCAGCCAGTCCCGAAGGAACATCCGGGGTAAGAATAGCGGATCTAACGTCCACCACGCGCGGTACACATGATCACTACACCATTCCATTAGCACAACTTCCAACTATGGGGAGAGCAGCAACTCACGCTCCAAAACTCGGCGTCCCAGCCAACAACGCCAGGGCCTGCACACGCGCCAGCTCCTGGTCGCATACGATCTGCACGAGCCCTCCGCCTGCGCTATGGCCTACCAACACGACCTCGCCGCGCGCGCTGAACAGCGTCTCAAGATGCGAGATTCCAGCGCGAATGTCTGTAGCGAGGGCGTAAGCGGTAGTCAGTAAAGCCATGCGGAGGAACCCGGGTGTCCATGAGTGGCCGTGTCCGCGGATGCTGAGGGCGTGGACGTTATACCCATGATTAGCGAGGAGGGTGAGCCAGGGAAGAAAGACGGAGGCGCATCCGAATCCGCCGTGGACGAAGAGGATGGGCGATTCGAGGATGGGGAATTGGGCGATGCGGGGGCGCGTGGGGTCGGGGGTTGCGCTGAGGAGCTCGAGGGGGCCGGAGGGGGTGGTGATGAAAGAGCGCCTGATACCCGCTGGGAGGGGCTTGGGGGGTGGGGAGGAGCTTGTCCAAGATAGGGTCCACCGGTTTGAGGAGGGGGTTGAAGGGGCGGGCATGGCGCATTAGGGTTTGATAGAGAAGGAAGATGGGGATTTAAGACGGGAACAAAGGACGCTGTCGTAGTACAGAAACGTGAGAAGTGAGCGCGAAGCTGCGGGCGATGTTATGTACCGCTGCGCCGCAACTGGCAGGCGGGGTACAAGGACACACGCGCGCGACGTAGAATTAAAAAGTGAGAAAGGTGAGACTTCTAGAAGGCGCGTCGTGAGAGTGAGTGTGCTTGCTTGCATGCGAAAGACCCAATTTCCGACGATGCCGGCTCGGCGCGCGGGAGAGAGTGAACGAATTTGAGGAAGAGGAAATGCGACCTACGAAGTACGGGGTTTGGGAGATCACGAAACTACACTGGGGGACATAATGTGTATGGTGACAGGTGGTTGGAGCTGACAGGCGACAGCTCGTTTGCTTATTCGCAGTGATACAAATGAAAGATGGCTGGCCTTGGCTCCTTCGGGACATGTGCCGACAAGGATGGGGATCCTGGGAGTTGGGTTGGCACGTGATAGAGGGTTTGGTGGAAATGGAAGAAATAGTGGTATTTTCGTATAATAATTCCTAGTAAGTACAGCTCCGTCTTTCTAGTTGGCTTTGAATTCGAGCCTGTTTCAAGGCTTCAACTCTCTATGGCCGGCCTGAACCAGGCACCGTTCGAGTCTTCCTCAGGTATCCAACCAGGAGATTTCGTGAAAGTGGTGATATGCTTAATTACAGTCTATAGTCTCCAAAACTATCTGTCCGTCTGTCCGTATGTGCAAATGTGAATTATAGAGCCAATCGCTGCTGCCCGGTTCCCGCATAACGCCGCCCAATGCCGATGCGCCCTGTGTATGAACAGAAATAAATGGTGTATCAAAGTAATCGTTGCGCTCAACGTGATGTTCTAGTCTAAACCATGAACGACTCGCCGCAGCCACATTCATCCTCTGGTATATTGTTAGGATATAGTCTTATGGTATCTCCGCGGAGCCACTTACTTATATTAGGGTTCTTGAAGACGAATCTTTCACTGAGCTTGTCCTCCACGTAGTCCATCTCGCTCCCAATGATGCTGAACAAGGCCTTGCTATCGATCAGGACCTTCACGCCATCCTGCTCAATCGTCTCGTCGAATGCTCCCGCCTTGTCAACGTACTCGAGGTTGTATGAGAGGCCACTGCAGCCACGGTTCTTGACGCCGACCTTGATGAGCTTGGGTTCAGGCTGGTTGAGCAGGTTGCGTATTTGCTCGATAGCTAGTGGCGTAAGGGTTATTGCCGCCTTTCGAGCAGCCCGTAGCCTCGAGCGAGGCTTTGGCTTTTCTTGTGTCGCCGGCGCAGCGCCTGCGGCCGGGGAGTTGTTTGCTTGGACAGGCTTCGTCTTCTGCGCCTCCTTTTCGGTGATAGCTACCTCTGGTTGTGTTGCTGCTGCTTGTTGCCCAGGTATCGGCGGCGGCATTGTGTTGTGCAGTTGCGGTATCCCTCTCCCGATGGATGTTTCTGGGGTGCCGCTGCTCCGCGGGGGTGGCGGCGCTTGAGGTTCGAGAGTGTATGCCTGGTATGTGCTGGTTTGCATCTTGCGCTTCGTCGACATGCGTGCAGACTGTGCTTCGGAGACTCGTCTCATTGCGTGGCGGCATGGCCGGAGTGCTGGTGTTGCTGAGGGGGCAAACGCGCACTGGAACAGCCTTGAGGTTGAGGAAGCCAGCGGCGTCGCAAATCTCGGAGTTGCCATCCTGTGCGATTGACAGGTGCTTGGTCGGATGGGGTATTCGTATAGTAGATGAATATAGTATTGGTATTCGGACGAAAAGGCTCTGCTATTTCATGCCAAATTGAGGTATTAGTCACCAGTTGGGTTTGAAGGTTGCTTGCTGGAGAGTTAAAGTACTGTATACGATGATGCTGCTCGGCTCTGTTCATGGACTTCCACGGGTAGCCGTGACCAATCAGTATAGCGGGTTTGTCATCCCGTCTACCCTGTAAACCCAGTCAATAAGTGGCGGGGCCATAAAGGTACGAGGGCGATTGATTAGAAGCACTAAAATCTAGTGAAAGTCATAACAACAGCCTCTTAAGAAAATGAGCTTGGACTGTGGACAATTGCACGGATATTTAGTGCAATATAATCGACTTTTAGAGTAAACTTTAATGAACTACTAACAATGACGTCTAAGAAAAGACCCCTCCCGTGCCTCCGCCTACTTAAATGTTCCTCAGCCTCGTCTCCCAGGCTGTGCGTCTTACTGATTTTGCCCCGACCGCCGACGGCCGGATTGCGCTAAGAACAAATGCAGGTCAAGGCTGAAGCACCCTGGGCCTTTGTGGCTGGTGGTGGTGGTGGCAGTAGGAACATACGCAACGTGTTGATGGAGATATAATTTTACGAGATATCGACAATAGAAATCTACCCATTTCCCACTCGGTTCTTGCTCTTCCATTGCGTGTCTGACTAGCGCCGAGCTCCTGGTTACATACAATTGGCATGAGTTATGGAGCCGTCGCCCCTCACCCAGCAGAGCAGACCTGAGGTGTTTCAACAAAAGATCGTCGAGCTGTACGACGGACTCTTCAAGGTAACAACATTCCGTGCCGGCTTGCGCACTGTCGACGCCAATGATTGTATGTTAACTCTCCATCGCAGGATGAAGAAGGCGGCGACAAATCTGAGGGGTTTTGGACGGAGTTCTTCCTCCTCAAACCGGACCTTGCGACGCTGAGGCGCAAACTGGGTGGATTGAGTCCCTCTGACCTGCTCAACCTTCAAGTTAGTCCCCAGCAAGTATGGTTATGACCTGGGCTTACATGCGATAGAACCAAACACGAAGCTTATTCTCTCGAGCAATTAAATGCATCAAAACCGGAAGTGCTCCGGCAGATACTCATGCTCTCGATGTAAGACCATGCCCCGCTCCAACAAGGCTACGGCTAACATATCCAGACCCTTACAGTACTTTTGGCTTCAGTCTTGTCGAAGAAATATAACAACCCGAGTTCGGACATTATAAATGTGCTTGCGGGCCTGGACGAAGTCGACTCTGTCGTTACGGAGTTCGTTGCGGTGCTGGATAATACAATTCGGACAGGACGCTCTTGTATGCACTCCCTACATACCCCCCCCCCAGCTCCAACATCACTGACATCTTGCCAGTGGATATACGGCAAAAAGCCATAGAAGTAACATTATCCCTGACATCCGGCGCATATCAAACGAGTCTCCTCTCGTATTTCACACATAGGGACTTATTCCCGTCGCTGATGAAGGTATGGATTGGCCGCGCGTCTCCCTCGTTCAACTCGATAAACTAATCCGGCCAGTTTATACAAGATACTGATTCTATAACCCGAACTTTTGAACCATTTACTCTGCTCGGATTATTAGCGAATTACAATAAGTTTGAGTTCCAAAATCCGTACAGGTTACGGCTCGAGGATTTCGTGAACGAGGCCGCAATACAGAAGATTATCACATCTACCGGCGCTACCTGCTCACGGTTACGCACAAAATATGTGGCCGTCCAGAATGATCTCCCAGAAGGATGGTCACTCGCATCAGCCTTCGGCATGCTCGGTCTCGGCGGCTTAATCGGTGCAAAGCCAGCAGCGCCAGTGATCGACCCCGAAGTCGCCAAGAAGATGTTCGCAGAACTGTCAGTCCCCCCCTTACAATAATCTACAATATCTGCTAACTCTGTCCCAGTCCCGGCGCCGAAGCAGCCGTCCTCCTCGCCACCTACGACTTCGTCCACGCCAACAAGCTCTTCTGCTTCAACCTCGTGACCCTCGAGCTCGAGAACAAGCAATCCGAACCCCCCATCGCAAGCTTCATATCCCTAACATCCTACCTCCTCGAGCACGCCTACATCTCCACCCGCACCTCCCTCTACGCGCGCCTCAACCTCCTCACCATCCGCCTCCTCGTCGAAGACCCCAGCCTCTGCAAACGCATCTGCAGTCCTGAAAGCAAAACGCCAATCCGTCTCTGCCGCCAGCGCTCCCCTTACCTCCCTCTAATTCGCGGCGACCGCGTCCTCGCTACCGCCCTCATAGATGCCATGATTGACGGGATCAACCATAACCTCCGCCGCCGCCTTGACGTCGATCTCTATGCCCTCTTCCTTGATATCTTGCAGCGCCTGATTGCGCATCTGGCACGCACACGCACGCGCTTGCCCTATCACTGGTCTGAGCTCTTCCGCTCCCTGCTAACGCTAATCCGCTTCATGGCTACATACGCCGCAGATCTAGCGGGACTGTCTCGCATTGACGCGCTACAGGATGCGTTGGTGAATCTCATCGCGCTGGCGCTGTCAGCGGGCGAAGCATTCCTTCCCACGCCAGCAGCATATGATGACCTCTTCTACAAGCTCGTAGAAACAGGTGACATACTCGTCAAATTCAGCGAAGCCTACGGACTAGCAAAGCGCCCCGGCTGCTCGATCGGCACACTCGTGAGCGTCAGCGCGCATTACAAGGAGCTCTTGAAAGACGGCGTTCGCGGGAGCGGAGTGCGGAATCTGACGAGTGCGCAGGTGGCGCAGGTGATTAAGCAGGGGTATGAGACGTTGAGTATTCAGACGAGGGAGGGGCTAGATGGGTGGGAGAAGTATAGGGAGGCGGATGAGAGGGTGTTTTTGAAGAAGGTGGCGAGGGCGGCGGTGGCGGATGCGAAGATGTTGGTTGATGCGCCGTGAGAGGGTAGATGGGATGTGTGTTTTGTGTGTATAAAAGGCGTTTCAATGGGTTTGGATGGGAAGCATGGGCCATGAGTTTTATACCAAAAGCTGAATCTGAAACTGAATATGAACAGAGAAAGACTCCGGAGGGGTCTACTTACCCTGTGTCGCCGATACGGAATTGACAGTGTCATCTCACGACTTTTCATCCTAAGTCTCACTCACCGTTCACTTTGCCCTCGTCACCACGTGCCACATATCTTCAACACGAGATTAATACCGCCAACAGGCATACATTCAGCCGCATAAACTCCCTCATCTCCAAAAATAGAACCACCCCCATCAAACCTCCAGTAACCGCGGACTCTTATCGCAGCTCCAACCCAACGGATAACGATAAGCGCCGTCACCAACCGCCAACCAATCGCTCCCCTCTTGGCGTAAACCCTGAAACGGCACGGCGCGAAGAGTAGACGCCGTGCTGGCGGTGGTTAAGTTGGTGGTTGGCAGTCGCTGTTGCGTTGGCCTGCACTGCCACGATGGGATTATAGTTTATGTGGAAAGCTGGGAAGTTGGAGGAGTTGGAGAGTTTCTGGGTGTTGGTTGGGAGTTGTTCATATTGTTCGTACGGTATGGTATGGATACGTCATTTCAAGGGTATGCGGGCCGACGATTGGGTCGCAAGCGCTGTCAGGTTCCAGGGACAGGGATGGAGTGGAAATAAACAGGAATGGAGAGCGCAACACCACCACGACGCAAGAATGCTTTGGCGATGGCGTGGCTTCTACATTCCAGCTTTGACTGTGTGGAATGTGGGCACAGCCACTGGATCGCCTTTGTGGTAGCTGTCATTTGATCCGGTGATGGTGATGATACTATTGTCTGGGTGAAAGGCGGGGAGAGCAAGGCCCTGGTGGCCACTCGCTCGTCACCCTCTTGGGAGGCGGCGTCGTCATCTTTGGCGTATAGGTAGGTTTGTTCATTTCAGGGTTTTCTTGCTATTGTTCGTTGTCCCCGTGCCCGCGGAGTCGAGGAGGGGAGAAGAGTAAATAGCCCATGGGATCGTTGCGCCAGTGATGCCCTTTGAGATGGAGGCAAACACTATTGAACAACTCGATCGCCACCCAGGTGTCCCCATGCGCGATTTGAGTAGGTATATGATCAACTGTGAATCCTTTGAATCATTCCGTACGAAGTGGATTCGAGTGAATGCGCCCGGATACTCGAGTATATATCGCAAGTCAAACGGAGCAACCTTTCAACGGACATTATACACGCCAATATCGCTGCCTATAAGCTTATTAACATAACACAGCTGCCTTATTCAGTTTGAGCTTAGCTTGAGCCTCGATCCACCGTCATATTACGTCGTCGCGCTTGGTGAATCAGTTGCGACCTGCCTCGACGAAACGACTGGCCAGGAGCGCCCAGCGCCTATATTTATCCCAGCGGCTCGACGACTCGACAACACACAAAGACGAGACGTTGGAGATTCGGCCTGGTGACCTAGTAAGGGCTTGAAACACCAAACATCTAACAAAAGAAATCGCTTTGTCGAGTAACTGGCCCCGAGTCCCTGTCGCGTTTATTGGAGTACGCACGTGGTGGTGCGTGGGTGACTGTGAGCTGGAATAAAGAGGTGAGTGACTGCACTTCGCCTGCGGTTTCTCAGTTACTCACCACGCATGCAGGCCATTCGATTGTTTTTTCTTTCTCATTATTATTGTCCATTGTCATTGTCATTTTTTCTTTACAATACAAATCACGGCCATTCAGATTTCTTATTGAGTCACTACCATCATGCACGATTAATACCTTTCCACCTACAATAATTGTTTTCTTGCTTCTCATATACTCAAGATCCGGAATCACAACACACAACCACACACGCATTTGTTGCTACTGATAAAATCTTCATTTTCATTCTGTACAAAAACACACTTCATATACTAAATATGTCTACCTTGGCTGGTCTCAGGAACATCATGGCACACGTACACATGCCTCCCTCGAAAGCAGACTCCTTTCCCCCGCTCCCGGGGAACCTCGATGCCCGCCATCACGATTTACAGGGCGAATACGCCCGCGACGGCAACGGCAATATCGCATCCGACGCACAATACACTCCATACCTCGGGCTGAGAGCACGGTTATCACAGGTCTGGATCAACAAATGGACGATCCTGCTGCTGCTCGTCCTGGCAAGAGTCCTCCTGGCGATCCAGGGCCTTGATAACAACATCGCATCCGCCAAAGCCAAAGCTCTCTCGGCATGTACGAGCGTGGAGAATGTGGGCAGCGCCATGGCTTCGATGCCTCACTACATGTCAGGGGGCGTCAACGCTATGGCTGCCAGCGGTGTAACGAGAGCCGTGAATGGTCTCATGTCCATGCTGATGCTTGCGATTACCGGGGTCGAAGAGATCGTTCTGTTCATCATTAACATGATGACTTCGACTTATATTTGCTTGATCACGTTGGTTGTTGGAGGAGCACTGCACGCCGCCTTGGAAGTCATCGATAAGGCAGGCCAGTTCCTCAACAAGACCTTGGCTACCGTTACGGGCGAGATTACAGACGGTATTAATGGCTTCCAAAGCAATATGAACTCCTTCCTCAAAGACATCGCTGGAGTCACTGGACTTTTCGGAGGCGAATCAAGTCCACCAACCATCGATCTCACGTCCGAGATGAACAAGTTGAAGAGCATCAACTTCAACGCCGCCAATCTCGACACCAACGTCAAAGCACTCGATGCAAAGATCCCAGACTTCAGCGAGGTCCACAACTTCACCAACAACCTGATCCGCACTCCCTTTGAGGAGATCAAGAAGCTGATCAACGCCTCGACAATCGGGTACACGTTCGACAAGTCCGTCTTCCCCGTCGCCCAAAAGGAGGCCCTAACCTTCTGCTCCGACAACAACGGCATCAACGACTTCTTCAACGGCTTGTCCAAAACCGCCCATGTCGCGCGCCAGGCATTCATCGGTGTCGTCGTTGCCCTAGCCATCATCGCCTGCGTGCCCATGGCCTACCGCGAAATTCGAAGATGGCGCATCACCAAGCAGCGCGCCCTTCTCATCCAGAAACAGGCCTTCGACCCCATGGACGTGATGTACCTCGCCGCGCGACCCTACACCTCAACCGCCGGCATCAAAGTCGCCTCGAAAATGAAGACCACCAAGAAGCAAGTTCTTACGCGCTGGTTCGTCGCATACATCACCACCATCCCCGCCTTATTCGTCCTCCTCCTCGCCTTCGCGGGCTTCTTCTCCTGTCTCTGCCAGTACATCCTCGTGCGCACGATCGAGAAGGAAGTCCCCGCCCTAACCAACCAAGTCGGGGATTTCAGCCAGAACGTCGTGCTCGCTCTCAACAACGCGTCCGAGCAATGGGCCGTAGGCGCAAACGGCGTCATCACCTCCACGAACACGAAGATTAACACCGACGTCTTCGGCTGGGTAACCACCTCCACCACGGCGGTGAACAACACCCTCAACGTCTTCGTCGACATGGTCGACACCCTCCTCAACGACACCTTCGGCGGCACAATCCTCTACACCCCCATCCAAGAGACCCTCAACTGCCTCCTCCTCCTCAAAATCCAAGGCATCGAAAAGGGCCTAACCTGGGTCCACGATAACGCCCACGTCGCCTTCCCGCCATTCGACAAGGACGTCTTCTCCCTCGGCGCCGCGGCCTCGTTGTCAGGTGAACCGGATCAGGAGTCATTCCTTGCATCTCCCGGCTCGAGCGCCTCGGATGATATATCAGGAGCTGTCCAGCACGTGGTGGATTTCATGTACAAAACCATCCGCGAAGAAGCCATCATAGCCACCGTCCTCTTCGCCGTCTACTTCCTCATCGTGCTCATCGGCGCCAGTCGTCTAATCGTCGGGATGATGTCCCGCGACAAGACGCGCGCGGAAGGCGGGGGTGTGCCAGCGGATTCCCCGCCGTATGAGGAGCGTGAGGTGAGGCCCGCGGAGTTTGGGGCGTTTGGGGGAGAGGTAGAGACGCCGTTTCCGAGGGATAATGAGAATCAAGGTGGGCCGTGGATGGCGGGTGCGATGGGGGGAGGGGAGCAGATGGAGAAGGTTGGACATGTGGGACATGGGGCGCAGAGGAGTGTGGGGGAGGCGAGTACGGGGGGGCATGGGAGGACGAGTAGTTATGGGTTTGTGGGGGAGAAGACGGGGTGAGTGAGTGAGGGGTGAATTTGGATTTTTGTGTTGGGGGGGGTTTGGATGGCGTTTTGGGAAAGAGGGTGGTGTGGAGTTTGGGGGTGTATATTTTTTGTAGAATTTGGTGCTTATAATTTTTTGCACCTTGTGGTATAAGAAAGATGTGTCTTGTGCTTGGGGCCCCGCGAGGGGTGTAGGGGACGAGGGTTTAAGAATAGGAATGAGACGTAAATAACAAGAATAAAAATTGACTCCTAGGGATGATGAATGTAATGGTGCTGTGATATCAGTTGTCTGGTCCCTAACCACGCATTTCAACGACGGTGGAAGCCATGCCATAAAATGAAGCTCCTTCTCCACCCCCAGGACATTAACACAATCGATTCGAGCATGCCTGAACCCGGAACTGTAATTGTATTATCTCGTATCCTCCACATATGTGTATTTCTCTCACGCCTCAACCTTCTTCGTAAACGTCACCTTCTCCACCGCCACGCTCTCCGCGCCCTTCTCATCCGTCTTAAGCTGATACACGTACAACGTGAGCGAAATCCCTTGTACCTATCTCACAGTCAGGTCTTACTCTCTCAATCTCCCCAAATTCCGCCTCCCCTTCCCAAAATCCAACCCCCCCAGCTCCCAAAACCAGCAAATAAGGAAGGGAAGAAGGGAGTAAGTAACAGAAAAGCCAAACTCACATCCATCAAACAAAAACTCGCCTCCCCCCCCCCCACCCCCGTCCCACTCCCCGGATTCACAAAAAACCTCTCCCCATACTCATACGCGTCGAACCTCCCCGTCCCCCCCCAACAAAGCACATCAACATCCAACCTCCTCGCCTCCGCCAGCAACGCATCCGCCTCCCCCGGCACCACCACACTAAACCCCTCCAGGAACCCAATTCTCAGACTCCCGTGCGTTACTACCCCGGAAAGCGGAAGGGAGGGAGCGTCGGCATCGAAGCGGCCCCGGACGAGCTTGAGGTCGGGAGAGATGGAGCGAAGGTAGGTGTAGGTTGCGCTGTCGGTGAGGTTTCCGAGGCAGAGGGTTTGCCCGATTTTGCCGGGGGTGAGGAGTTTTTTGAACTATGGGGTGTTAGCGGGGTGTGATTGATGGGTGGGGGGAAGGGGGGAGGGAGGAGGGAGGGGGGGGGGAAGGGTGCCTTTGCGGGAATGTCGATTGCGCGGTCGGGGATGTGGAGGTCGCCGATTACGAGGACGAGGCGGGATGTCATTTTGGGAGGTGGTTGGTGGCGCGCGCGCCGGTGGTGGGTGGTGAGGTGTTTGTGGGATAGTGGTGGAGGGAGATTGGTATGTAAGGTGTAGTGGAAGGCGTGGAGAAGTTGGAGGGACAGTGGTGATGGTGGAGGGGGAGCTGGGGGAGTTGGGATGCGAGGCTGCTACATACAACCCGGCTCGCTTGCTTGCGTTGGGGTGACGAGGCTGCGTGCGCCACAGCACCAGATACAGGGACGGGCGGGGCTTACGTAGCTCGAGATGTGGCTGGTATATCAAACCAAGCTTTATCATTATCACAACCCAACACTGCTGGATTTATTTTTACTTTAGAATCATCATTTGACTATTCTAGACTACCTAACGAGCACAATCTTCAGAAAAATTGTCGCAGCGCCGATCGAGCGCCCGACCGACCCATGGGTTCCATCCGACAACAGTACCACAAATTCCGTAAAAATCAGCCGTCCTTACATCCCATAACAACCGATAAAAAACATCCCATCGTTTCGGCGGCATCCCCGCATGCAGCGGGTTAGTTCCCTCTTGCAGTTAAGATCGTAGTTAACTTCCCCGCGGGGGCAACCATGCATCAACAGTGTGTGCGTGTATCGCAAATTTTATATGCCCGGCGTCTCCGTCACATATTCACGGGGGGGGATGAATCACTTCTGGGCGCGGCCGCTCTTGACGGTTTGGATGATCTGTTCGACGACGGTGGGGTCGGAGAGCTGGTCTGATGTCAGCTTCTTGGTCACGCAAGACAAGGAATGAGATTAGGAACTTACAGTAGTGATATCTCCCAACGAGTCCTCCTCGCCCGCCAGAATCTTCCTCAAGATCCTACGCATGATCTTTCCACTACGGGTCTTGGGCAGGTCGGTGACGATGATGATAGTCTTTGGTGCCGCGAATGGGCCAATGCTCTTGCGCACCTGCAGGATGAGGTCCTTCTTCAGCTGGTCGTTGATCTCGTTGCCGTCCTTGATGGAGACGAAAGCGTTGACAGCCTGGCCGGTGAGGTCGTCAGCAACGCCGACGACGGCGGCTTCGGCGACAGCGGCGTGCTCGATGAGCGCGGCTTCGATCTCGGCGGTGGAGAGACGGTGGCCGGAGACGTTGACGACATCGTCGACACGTCCGCGGATCCAGTAGTAGCCGTCGTGGTCACGTCCGGCTCCGTCGCCTGTGAACTAGAAGGGGGTTAGTTTTAGGTTCAGTTAGGGAATGGGAGGGGTAAACGTACGTAGTATCCTGGGTACACGGTCAGGTAAGTCTCCATGTAACGTTTGTGCGCGCCCCAGACAGTGCGAGCCATGCTAGGCCAGGCGTTCCTGAAGGCGAGAACACCCTCAACATCGTTGCCAGCGACCTCCTTGCCAGAGACGGGGTCAATGATGGCAGGATCGATGCCGAAGAATGGGAGGGAGGCACTTCCAGGCTTGGTGTGGGTAACGCCAGCAAGCGGGGTGATGACGTGGGAGCCGGTCTCGGTTTGCCAGTAGGTGTCGATAACCTGGCACTCCTTCTTTCCGACGGTGTCGTGGTACCACTTCCACACATCAGGTGCGATTGGCTCACCGACCGTTCCGAGGACACGGAGGGTCTTCATCTGGGCGGTGATGTGCTGGTCGCCGGCGCGCTTGAGCAGTCTCAGGGCGGTGGGCGCGACGTAGAATTGAGTGATGCCGTGCTTCTCAATGGTATCCCAGTATCTGGAGAAGTTGGGGTAGGCGGGGGTTCCCTCGAAGACAACCGTGGCAATACCAAGGAGCAGTGGGGCGTAGACAACGTAGGTATGGCCAGTAACCCATCCAACATCACCAGCGCAGAAGAACTTGTCGGTGTCATGCATGTCAAAGACGTACTTTCCAGTCATAGCCGCACCAAGAAGGTAACCACCGGTGCTGTGCATGAGACCCTTTGGCTTACCAGTGGAACCCGAGGTGTAGAGGAGGAACAGAGGATCCTCTGAGTTCATTGGCTCTGGGGCAATGTAGGCGGGCCACTTCTCGACCTCCTCGTGCCACCACCAATCTCTACCGGTGGTCCATGGGACGTCGGCTCCGGTGCGCTGGTAGACCAGGCAGCCGGTGACATTTGGGCACTGCTTGAGTGCGTCGTCCACAATCTTCTTGGTGGCAATAACCTTTCCTCCACGCTTGCCCTCGTCGCTGGTGATGACAACCTTGGACTTGGCGTCGTTGACACGGTCCCGGAGGGAATCGGACGAGAAGCCAGCGAAAACGACCGAGTGAACGGCACCGATACGCGCGCAGGCAAGGAATGCGACAAGTGCCTCCGGAATCATGGGGAGGTAGATAGCAACAGTGTCGCCCTTCTGGACGCCCATCTGCTTGAGGACGTGTGCGGTCTTGCAGACCTCGCGGAGAAGCTCGCCATAGGTCAGGGTGCGGCCCTCGTTTGGCTCGTCAGCCTCGTAGATTATGGCTGCCTTGTCTGGATTCTTGAACGCATGGCGGTCGACGCAGTTGTATGAGGCGTTGAGCTCGCCCTCCACGAACCACGCGTTGTCGCCGTTGTTCAGGTTGCCGCTGTGGACGGTCTGGAAGTCCTTCGACCAGGTCAAGTGCTCGCGAGCGTGCTTGCCCCAAAACTTCTCTGGCTCCGTAATGGACTCTTTGTACATGGACTCGTATTGCGACATGCCTAACGCGCAATTAGTATGGGCGCACACAGTCAGGGGGGGTATAAGACGCGCTTACCATCGATATGGGGCTTGCTGGGGTGCTCTGTTTTGAAAGTTAGCTGTGCTACATTCTATAGCTTGTACTGCAGGTGTCATTGTGTTCCTTACTCTCAAACAACTTCGTGGGTGGTGCTGCGAACGAGGTTAGCTACAGTAGTTCTGGGGAGCTGCATCTACCCCTCCAGGGTACTTACGGTATGTTACAACCTCGTGCGCCTCGACGACCACGGGGCCTGCGGTGGGGACAACATCGCCTTCAGACATGGCGAAGGTGAGATTGAAGGGTATAGGTCTAAGTGTTCACCGAAGTGAGAAATTCAAGATTGAAGTGTTGAGCAGCTTGGCTGTAAAAAAAGGTAGAGGTTAGTAAATTGCTGACCGAAAATGCGGGGTACTTTAAAGGTTGCGTGCTTCCGTCCGCTGGTCTGGGCACCGATAAGGGTCCGATCGGGCTTGGGGGGCTTGGGCTCGGCGTCGGTCGTGCGGGTGATAAATGCAAAACAAAAGCTGAAGGGTCTTACGGAAATTGTTTCTGTGTTCCCAGATCTGACGTGACTTGATCGGGTGAATTCAGCGATTGAGGCTGCGTACGCGTGGTGATTGTGAAATGTGGTGTTTTGTTATTGTTTGTTTTTCGTAGTGGATCTGCGACAAGGTGAGCTCTGGGTTCGTCCGTTTGTCCGGAAAAAGATGCGCGAGACGGCGGAGAGCTCAAGGTAAACAGAGACAGGACAGGATGTCAATGAGAACTGAGAGATGAGATCTATCTTGCAGAGCTCAGGAGGTGAGATAAGTAGAAAGGTATGCTTACGAGGAGGTAGAAGTAGAGAGAGGAGAGGTTGGTGAGAGTGAAGTGAGGTTGTAAGTTGTAAGAAAGAAAGGTGGAGGGCGGGGGAAGGAAATGGAGGGGGAGGGGGAGGGGTGGTCAATATGTAGTAGTTGTAGTAGCCTCGTAGTCTAAGATTGCGGAGAGGAGGAACCTCAAGGTAACTCTAGTTGTAGTAGTAGTAGTACATCCAGCTAGAGTAAATTTGGTAAATTTGGGAGGGGATGTGAGACCTTGTTGCCTGTCTGTCTCTCTCTCACCCCTCATGCACCAACACACATACCCCAGTGGTTGTAAGTATTTCCAATATGTTCCAATACATACATACAAGACTCCGTTTGTCGAATAATAAAAGTTACGCATACCATTCATACTGTGGATACTTGTGCCTGTAAAAACTGGAGCTCTAGTGTGCAGGAAGGTACAGAGATTATAGTAAGCACATCCATCCAGTCAGTCCATTCTTGGTTGTGCATACATACAATACAATCCAGCTCACAGCTCCCTTCCAGTTCTATCTCCTCCCTCCAACATAAACAAGTACCTCAAGCTACGCCAAGCAACCTGGAGAAATGGAGAAACCTCAAGGACATATACCCATTCGTGTAAGAAGAAGGCGGAGATAGTACTCGAATCACCCCCCAAATGACGCTCAGATACCCTCAAATGGCTCAGCGGGTAAGGTTACCACCGCATCTCTGGGATCCTCTGCTTCTCAACTAGCGCTTCCCGGTCCTTTCCCCATACGGCCTGGCCCATCCGCAGGGCCACCGGGAAAATGGAAGCTGTCGGAAATGGCACTAAGACGATCTCACACACCTCACACTAGAAGACCTTCCTTACAGCCCCCAGGGTTGTATGGTGGGTGTATGGTAGGGTACAAGACGACGTCCTGGGGATTGAGCGATGGGCGAATTATGTGCAGCGCCGAGCTTCTTACCATACCTCACCATCACACCCACTCCGATATTGCCTCTACAGTGCTATACGGAGCAAAATACAAACGTCGAAAGGAGAGGGTGGTTGTCAAGGGCTGGCAAGGAAGGGCTGTCGCATGAGCACACAGCACCGCGTACCTCGTTTCATCAGGATCACACACTCCCACCCTTCCAACCCTTCCAGCCTCTTCTCGCCCATCCTACAGTACACATACAGTACACAGCCTTCCTCTCCAATTCCCACGGCTCTCCCGCTCGCTCCCCAAACTCTACCGAAACCACCACACATCAAATATCCTCCGTTCTGCGGTAGAACGGAAGAACAAGCAACACTCTGCGCGCGCCATTGCCGAACAAGCTCCACCCGCTCCCTCCCCCCCACACCACACACACACACACACCACCAACCGAGCCACGGCATACCGTGTAATTCTTCCCGTCGTGCGATGGGAAAGGCCCTGGGATCACCGGAGAAAACGCCTCTGTTGCGTCCGGCTATGCTACTCCTAGCGCTTGGCAAACCTCGGGGATACTATGAACGCCTGACCTGCATGAAATGTTGTTGGTGTTCTGCCGTAGGGTGGTTGGGGTCTGGAAATGGTGGTAGATGTGTTCACTCTGCCCCTTGCCTAAGGTAATGATATCCGTCAAGCCATGCTGCATACTGCTTTACCCGCAGATGATACGCTGCGCGCGCGGAGGCTGAGTGAGGAGGGAGGGGAAACAAGCATGGATACTTCTGCTGTTGCGCTGCAGTGTGCGCAGTTTCCTCCCCGTGCGACGCACTCCCCAATGTCAAACCCGTAATCTTCCTCGTCTACCCTCCGATCCAACAGTCTTTGTTCGTTCGTCTCTCTGTGCGCGATCCTCTTCTCACCGAAACTGTGGCACAGGAGAATGACTGACTGCTTGCGGAACGCTCGCTATGTCGTGGTTAGCGGGGGGTGGTGGGGTAACGATACGCAAATTGACATGTCCAGTCAGCGGTGCTGACAATCCCGACACAACCACCGCCGAAGTGTTGGCTTGGCGCGGCGGCGGTCTATCAGGCTGTTCTGTTTGTGTGTGTGCGCTTCAAACGACAGACGACCGTGTAAGTATGCGCTTGCTGCTAACGACCGTGCGTGTAAATGTAAATGAAAACAAAAATATCCTACCAATCCGCCAAACATCCAACACAACACTCACACGGGGGATCATCTTTATAACCTTTTTATTTACGAAGAGCCAATATTTTGCCTTGCAGGCGCCGCCGCACGTTACATACAGGGAATCTAATACCTTCAACGAACACCCACCCACCCACCCCTCTCCACTATAATCCCATGCTACCCCCTCCAGAATCGGTGTGGGAGGGAGAGGGTAACACAACGCAGATAGACCCACTAAGAGGCACCACACCACACGTTGCAGTTTGGAATCAAGCTCTGGTAGCTTCGCACCTTACTTTTCTGTCACCTCCCCTTGCCTCTAGCTACCACGACCTCCATACCTCTCGCTGCCAAATTCCAAATCCCCTAACCTAACCCCCCATCGTTGTACGCACCAGACCTCCCGATGTCGCCGCGACGGCACGCACTGCTGCCATTTGACAACCCGCACCTGAGACCGTCGCACGGGGAGTTGGATGCATGAACCAACTGTCGGACAGCAGATGGTTCGGCACCTAGGGTTCCTGCAGCTGTTGCGGCGGCTTCGGGGGGGTCGAGTATGCGATCGTCCGGGTAGGTCTGGGTAGGTGCGGCCAGTGTCGTTCATGCATCCCCGTTGTTGCGTGCGGTATTGAGGTTGCTGTTATCAAATTGCCATCTCATCTCCTTCCCATTTCCCATTCTTCCCCGTCTCCATCCCCCAACGCGCCATTCCCATAACCCCCCCTCCCCCAACCCAGCTCCAGCTCTAACCCCCCACCCCACTACCTTCCCCATACCCCTGCCTCTTCCGATCCCTCACCTCCTTCTCCTCTACCTCAGGACTCGTCTCGTAGCTTGAATGCCTCCGCTGCTGCTGTTGTTCCTCCCTTGTGGCGGTAATATTAACACCGCTCTCACCATTATCATCGACACTCCCCCTCCGGGGCCTGGTGCTGGTAGTGGTGTGAGTAGTCCCCATAGTTGTGCCCCCAAACCCGTGCTCGCTGATCGCTTCTTCGTACCGTCTATTCTGGTCTCTATGATCCTTCCGCTCGCGCGCGGTTTTCTGTTGGGCGGAGAGGGCGGGGCCGCGGGGGGGGATGGCGTCGTCTGTTGGTATTAGATGGGTGTTGGAGTTGGAGTTTGGGTTGGGGGAGGTATTGGAGAAGGGGAAGAGGGAGGGGAAGAGGGAAGGGAAGAGGGAAAGGGTAAGACGGGAGTGTTGGATGGGAGTGGTGAAAGCGTACCGCCGAAATTAGGCTTCTGCTCGGTGTTGGGTGAGGTGAAGACAGTGGCTTCATCGTATCTGGCCGCGGTTAGAGGGGTGTTGGGGATGGAGATGGGGATGGGGTGGGGTTGACGTGCTGGTTGAATGATTCGCCGCCGGGAGAGGTGTCCATTAGTTTTGTGTTTGTGGGTTGGGACATTCTTGCACCTTGGGGGGTTATGGAGGGGATTTGGAATGGCTAATTGTAGGATATAGATACTGTGAGGTGAAGGTTTGGATGTTATAGATTGATATTTGATCTTATCATTTTTGGTTCTAAGTGACGTAAGTAATACGTCTTGATATGTGAGAGCGAATCAAACGAGCTCAACTACTATACTCCCCACGGGGAATTCAAAACAGCGGCTCCAAACAACTTCAGATATTTTAATACCTACGATTCAAACTACAACCTCCATCAGTCACCTCACTCTCACATTGAAACATCATCTATCACATGATTCTATCACGTGACACATCTTTTGTCGCTACAACTTGAAACAACCACCACCATCCTTTCCCTCCTCGTCCCCAACAAAAGAAAAAAGCCACCAAATCAAATTTAGAACAATGACCCAAAAAACCAAGTTTCCCTTTCCTGTCATCTACATACCCCTCTAGCCCTTCCATCCTTAAACCCGTTTCATTATGTCTGCTCCTTCACGCGTCGATTCGTCACTCCCCCTCTACCTTGCCGCCCTTCACCGCGTTTCAAGCCTCTAGCTCTGCAGGGGCGGAGCTTTGTCTGGCGTCAAGCACTCCGCGGCAAAATGGTTGGCTCACAGCCACCCGTACTAAACAACTGAAGCTCGGACATCCATATAGCGTACTATTATAACCGCTGCGACCACAGCTCGTTCCTGAGTTCTTGGGATCTGCAAACAAGACTGCCGCTGCTGACTTTGGATGGGCGGTGATGGGGCGTGCATTTGTGGGTTACGGGTTTGTGGCGGCGGTCGGGTTGGGGCGGTGGAGAGGTAGGTGATGCGTGGTGGTTCGGGAGGTTTCTTTCATTGGTTCCATCGTCGTGTTTTTGGGTCATCGAGGCGGCCGAGTGGCCAGTCGTTCGGGCATCTGGACGCGTTTTCGAGGTGCTTGGCGCTGAAACATTGATGGACAAAGCAGGTCCATTCCATCGGATGACTCGTCGGGTCTTGTCCAACGAGGGAGTCTCGTTCAGACCACGAGGAATCGAAGCGTCGAGATGTGGGCTTTGTCGGTGAGGTGAGCGAGGGGGGTTATAAAGGCGCTTGGGATTCCCATTATGAGTGAGTCTTTGTTACATCTTCTTCTTCATCCTCGACAACAGGCAGGCATTGTAGACGATTCTTTGAATAGGCTGGCACTTTTCACGAATCCTACTCGAGCTTTCTTTCTGAGATATCATATTCTTTCTCTCTTGTACAATACAAGTAAACATACTTGCTTGTTCCATTCACTTCCTGTTCGATTCTTTGCTTTATATTTTTGGGACCGCCACTTCTATATATCCTCTCTTTTCGCCCCCAACTCAAATACAATACAGCTGCTCTGGAAGCACGCATATCACACGATATTTACATATCATACCAAACTCGATATACCACAAAAAACTTTCAAAATGAAGTCCTTCTTCACCACCTTCTTCCTAGCCACCATGGCCACCACAACCTTCGCCCACATGGAGATGTCGGACCCCCCGCCCCTCCGTAGCAAGTTCAACAAACTCGCCACCAACCCCGACTACAGCATGACCTCCCCCCTCTCCGCCTCCGGCTCTGACTTCGCCTGCAAAGGCTTCCTCTCCGACCTCGGCACCGCGGCCGGCGGCTCCGTCGCCTCCTGGGCCGCTGGCTCCGAGCAAAAATTCACCATCGTCGGCGGCGCCCCGCACAACGGCGGATCCTGCCAAGCCAGTCTCTCTTTCGACAGCGGGAAGACCTTCAAAGCTATCCACTCCTACATCGGCAACTGCCCGCTCGTCCCGGATTACAAGTTTACCGTCCCTGCTGACGCAAAGGCGGGGCCGGCGGTCTTCGCTTGGACTTGGTTCAATAAGGTCGGGAATCGCGAGATGTATATGAATTGCGCTAGTGTCACTATCACAGCTGGATCGGGCTCCGCAGCTGTTGCTTTCTCGGCGCGTCCGGATATGTTCGTCGCTAACACGGGTACCGGATGCACGACCCTCGAGTCATCAGATCTTCTGTTCCCTGACCCAGGACCAGACGTCACCAACGACAGCGCCGGCACAGCCGCCCCAGTCGGATCCTGCGCCAGCGGCTCCGGCAGCGGCTCTGGCAGCGGCAGCGGAAGCGGCAACACCGTCGCCTCCGCCTCCGTCGTAGCCCCAGCAGCCCCAACAGGCTTCACAACCTCCATCATCCCCTCCACAACCAACACCGCTCAATCCGGCTCCACCGCCCCCAAAACCCCCACCGGCGGCGCACTCACCCCCTCCACGAACGGCGAGTGCGGCGGCCCGCAAACCTGCGCTGGCTCGGCCTTCGGCCAATGCTGCTCTAAATACGGGTACTGCGGCGTGACAGCCGCTCACTGCGGGGAGGGCTGCGATCCTACCTTAGGCACGTGCGGGTCCTCTGCGTCTGGAGCTGCGGGGACAGCGGCCGTGGTGAGCTCGGGGGCTGCAAAGGCGACAGCGAATACTTTTTTAGCTGTTTCAAACGCCGTCGCTGGTACTAAGTCGTCTGGCGGCGCACTCACAGTCTCCACGGATGGCGTGTGCGGCGGCTCGGTAACGTGTGCTGGCTCGGCGTTTGGACAGTGCTGCTCGCAGTACGGGTACTGCGGTGATGCGTCTGCTTACTGCGGGCAGGGGTGTAATTCTGCTTTTGGCATTTGTGGCGCCTCTGTGGGGACGAAGAGTTCTTTGGCTGTCGCGAACGTGGCTGGGAGTAAGCCGGAGGGAGGGGAGATGGTGACGAAGACGGAGACGGAGGTGGTGTATAGCACTGTCTATGTGACGGATAGGGCGGCGGCGACGGTGAATGATGTGGGGGGACGGTCGACGTTTCAGACTGTTACGAGGGGTATGTAGGCGCGCTGATGCGTCGAGGAAGGTCGACTTGGACTAACTGGTGGTAGCGGAGACGGAGCGGAGGAGTGGGATTACGGTTATCCCTGCTGTGGTGCCGAGATGAGGTGAGGTCGGCGTCTTTACTGCATTCCTGGATTCGCGGGAGGGGGGTGGGGGAGTTAAATATAGGGGGACATAGGCGCAGTGGTTGGTGTTTTTATTCTTACAGTATCTATTTTTTTGGTGGGAAGGGGGAGGGGGGTGGGTTTTGTTTGATAACTGGTTTTGTTGGTTGGAGTTTTTTTTTGTAGATTTTTGGGGGCAGTCATTGCCGGGGCTGGACATACAGATTGGATTATAGTATGAATATATTTTGTCCTGAATACTTTTTTTGAAGATTGATTTGACTTGTGACGTGTACTCTGCGGATTTGGGTGTGAAAGTGAGAATCAAGGCACGGACCACCTGCAGCTGTTCCGTGTAGGAGGACTCGGCGATCCAAGGTCGTGGGTTAAGTTGATCGGGATGTACATTTCTAGATTCATCAATTAAGCCATAGAATTGTCCCAGCAGTATTATTCACCATATATTAATTATATAAACTGAAAATTTGTACCGCAGTCTTGCACCCCGTCCAACAGCGCACATTCTATCCGCTCGGTGTGTTGCTATAACAACCCTGCTTATCTATTCTCCGTCCCTCATTTCACATCTCCAACCGCCCTCCAACTTTACCAAAGTATTCTTACTGCACAGCGCAACACGATATTCCGTCTCTATTCCGATATAGCATACCGACCGCGCGCCTCAGACTCGAAAAACTCAAATCAGTGAACGATCGCGCCCGAACAAACAGTGCCATACGAAGGACCCTGAGTCCCCCAAAGGCTGTGCCTCAGCCTCGGCACCCTGCACTTCACCCACAGCTACTCCACGACCAGAGCTCCGATGCACCTCACCAACCTCCTCCTCGCTCTCCCTCCCTCCCTTCTCCTTCTCTCCTCCCACGCCACCTCCGCACACGCACACAGCAATGGCGCCGCCTTACCCCCCCCGGCGCATATGCCAGAACCACAGGTCATACAGAGAAGGCAGGAGATAGCAGCGCGGATAGAGGGGGGGGCGAAGCCGGTTAGGGTTAGGAAGATGAGTGAGGATGGGGGGGAGATGTTTTTTGGTGAGTATTGGGGTTTTGACGCGCGGGACGAAGAAGGAGGGGATGTTTTACGACGGGACTACGAATCCGAAGACGATATCTCGCGGGGGAATTCCTCAGCAACCTTCTCCTTCCGCCCCGCCTTCGCCATCCACGAGGCCGAATCCTCCTCCCCCCGCGGCCTCTCAGAAGCGCAAGCCCTCCACCACCGCTCCTCCCGCGCCCTCTCCGCCCTCCTCAAGCGCGCCTTTCAATGCCCCACCGGCACCACCGCCTGCACCTCCATCTCACAACCGAACTACTGCTGCGCCTCTACCGAGTCCTGCATCACCATCACCGACACCGGACTCGGCCCCGTCGGCTGCTGTGCTTCCGGTCAGACCTGCGAGGGGGAAATAACGCACTGCGCGGCGGGGCAGACGGCGTGTCCGCAGAGTTTGGGGGGGGCGTGCTGTGTGGCGGGGTTTGTGTGCTTTGATGTTGGGTGTGTGAGTAGTGTGGTTGTGACGGAGATTACGACTGTGACGCAGACGCCAGTGGTGGTGCCGACGACGACGAGTACGCCGGTTACGACGACGACGACGACGACGCCGAGTACGAGCGCGGTGACGACGACGGAGGGGCCGGCGCCGCCGGTGAGGGGGACAGGGGAGAGCTCCACTGTTGCGCCGCCTACCACATCCCTTACTTCGGATTCAGAAGCTTGTCCAACGGGGTTTTACGCCTGCTCGGCGTATTTCCCAGGCGCGGGATGCTGTCGCGTAGGTCGTGATTGTGCGCAGACGTTCTGTCCGACTACGGGGTCGGTGACGGTTATTAGTGGGGGGGTTACGGTGGCGGTGCCGGAGGGAAGCGCGGCGACGACGGCGACGGGGGCGGGGAAGTGTGCCAGTGGATGGGATGGGTGTGTGGGCGGGGGGTGCTGTCCGGGGGGGTGGGAGTGTGGGGTTAGTTGTGTGAGTGTTGGGGCGGCGGCGACGAGTGTGTTGGCGAAGGGGGCGGAGAATGCGGGGGGGAGGGGTGGAGGAGGAGGGGTGGGGGGTTGGGGGGTGGTGGTTGCGGTTTTGGGTATTTTGGTTGGGTGAGGGGGGGTTGAGTTGGGAGGGAGTTGAGGGAGGGCTGGAGCGGCGTCTCTGGAGATGGGGGGATGTTGGGTATTAGAGGGTAATGATTTATGAATAATTATTGCATTGGACGGAAGTGGTGGTTATTATCGAGGCTTCGATGATATGAGAGTTGATCTGAGCGTCTGAAGCGGATGGGAACTACTGCGGTACGGCACAACTCCTATTCTGATATATGTACCTATAGCGAGCAATATTCCCAATTATAATGAATACGACCTAGTATCTACCATTTAAACTTTTCTTTCCCAAACTGCTTGGTCAGATAATAGCCACATGCTTTCTACGGTGATATTCGCCGTAAAGCCGCTACCATCCAGCGCCTCGGCCCCAACGGTGTTAAGCGGACTGGAAAAACGTTTCGCCATTGATGACGGAACTTTTGCTGGGAGCTTTCCGAGGAATTCAAGAAATATAGAACCTCCGACAACACACGAATTACAGTCCACCAGCCACATAATACACCTCCCAACGCGTACCAGTGCATGGCTCTCTCGCCATATAAAGCACACCGCGAAATCCGCACATCCGCCACACCACACCCCTTCATGAACTTCACCGGGCACCACCAAAGCTTATAACCACGCTCCATCCACGAACCCGGCCAACCCGAGGTCAACTCAACCACAACCCTCCCAATGGCCTCCCTCATCTCCACCATCCGCGGCCTCACCAGCGCGTCCCCCGCAAACACAGCACCCCTCCGCACCTTCTTCTCCGCGCAACCCCTTGGTCTCCGAACCGCTGGTCGGCGGCCAATAAGCATATTCTACTTCTCCGCCAACAGCGGCGCGCGCACCGCTCTGCGCCCCACGAATCCCTCTTCGAAACTCCGCTTCCAGCCTCTCCGCTCGCGATTCTTCCATTCCTCGCGCCCTCGCCGCACAGGTGCTGCGGAAGCCGATGCCGTGAATGCTGCGAAGGACGCCGCCCCGAAAGCGCCCCTCACGCTGGGACAGCGCATGAAGAAGCTGTCTCGCGAGTATGGATGGTCGGCGCTGGGTGTGTATCTTGCGCTCACGGCGCTGGACCTCCCGTTATGCTACTTGCTCGTGCGGTGGCTTGGCACGGACCGTGTGGGGCGGTGGGAGCACGCTGTTGTGTCGCGGGTGGCGCCGCTGATACCGGTGATTGTGAAGGAGAAGTGGTATGTGTTTAAAGCGTGGATGCATAGTGCTGAGGAGACGATCACGGGGAATGATGATGTGAGTGATGCTGTTGATATGGCCGGGTGGGGGGTGGAGGAGGCGCAGAGGCAGAATAAGAAGGAGGCTAGTCTTGGGACGCAGTTGGCGCTCGCGTATGCGATTCATAAGAGTTTTATCTTTTTGAGGGTCCCGGCTACGGTGGCGTTGACGCCGAAGGTGGTTAAGGTGCTTAGGGGGTGGGGGTGGAATATTGGGAAGAGGTCGACGAAGGCGGAGAAGGCGGCGAGGAAGGCGACGAAGGAGGCGAAGGGGGTGAAGAATGTGAAGGTCGTGAAGGAGTAGGGGGGTGGGGGTGTATGTTATTATTGTTTTGGGCGCTTGGTGGGGGGTTTAGATGGGAGGATGGGGGGGGTATAGACTTGATGAGTGTACGATATGTAGTTGTAAGCACTGTATCCGTATTGGACGTGGAAAATGAAACTCTCAACAGCCGCCACAGAAACCATGGACATTCTCCAGACTAAGCCACGCTTATTGATGCCCTTCCGCTATTGACAAAGTTATACCGGCCTTTTGTTTTCCTTTTCACAAGTTTTACTGCCCTAATTTTACACATGGAAGCTTTCCCCAGCTCCCAGGAAAAGGGGTCATGCTGGCCATACATTATCACCTACAATCCACCCTTCGCACCTTCCTTCAGTCCATTAATAATCCAACCTCAAGATCGCTCTTTCCTCGCCAAGAGGGCATACTAGTCGCGCATCCCACCTCCATCTACAAGGAAGCTCCAACCCACCCCCCGCACCTTCCCTCAATCCATCTCCC